TCCGAGTGAGTAAAGAAGACCTATAGCATGTCATTTTTTTAAATCATTTAAATCAAATCTCTGGTTTTATTGGATTGCTGAAAAGTGGGCGGGCTTAAAAGCTTGTCCTCAGCACGCTGGCTTGTCACCAGATTTATTGACTGAGGATATTATTGGTTGAAATTGGTCTGGATTCATTTACGTTACCACACATCATATTCAGTTTTACAGGAAGAGATGATGATGGGTTGTCATACAAATAAGGAAGAAATAGACTTTCTATTTCATGTGTTACACGGTTCCCACTTTGAATGGGTTTGTGAACTGGGTTGGAAAGGCATTTTTCATTTAATCCAGACTTTAAAAAGATTGGAGTTGGCCAAACAAGGGTTGCATCTCTTGAATAATCGGTGCTGTGCTCCCGCAGAAAGCCCTGCAGACCACCAGAGAGGAGTACAGCGCTTTGCCTGGCTGGAAGCAGGTGAAGCTGAAGAAAGCCAAAGGACTTTTTTAAGGGGGGTTGAGACAGCGAGCTGATCTGAAGACACCGGGATGCCTGGGACATAGCGGAGGTTGGGAGCCTCACCTGAGGTAACCACGACGGAGGAAGGGAGCAGCGAAGCTACGGAGAAGGTGTTCCTCCACCATCTTTGAGTCTGTGTTTTCCGGTCGTAAAGTTAGGAGACAAATGCACCTTTTGTTAAGTTTATTGAATTTAATGTTAATGTACATATGTACCATATGCAGAAAACAGCCCGGTCACCTTACATTGTCGGTCATGCGGCCTTCTGTGGAGAGTGGGAGCAGACCTGTCAGCCTGTTCAACACACTCCACTTCACGTGCTCTGCTTTTGCTTTATGTATTTGTCCATTACAAATAATTTATATTTATCTTTGAATATATATTTTGAAGCTCCATGAATATTCACTGAGCTATGAATGCTGAATGATATTGAGTCAGTCTGTGTCATATGATGATAAATACTGGAAATCACAGAACTCTCTGTACAGTTCGCCACTCGCCATTTTACAAATCCAACAAAGCAGCTTTATTTTTGCGTCTACTGTCGTTATTGTGTCAGAAGAAAAAGATGTAGGCCGGGGTGATGATGTAATGTGTGTAATTCTTTTTTTTTTAATCTCTCAGTGTATAGTGCCTTGCTTTGTGTACAGTTTCTATACAGATCCTAGTCAGCACTTTGGAGACTTTTTGTGATATAAAGAAATATTAGAAAAATAAACTCTGAAAATGTATTAATTCTGAGCTTTTTTTTCTTTATTGACTCCATAGTGAAGTCGCATCTTAAGCAGCGTATATTGTAGTAAACACATTTTCTTTGATTCATAACATCAACCAACAGTATTTCTGATATCCTGTAGAGGGCAGTATAATACTAACTGTGTTCTAGGACATGACTGGTGCAGACCAGTTGTAGTCATGTATGTTAATTACTTTAAGTAACTCTGAACACACTGTTGTTCTACCAGTGTTATCCAGTAAAACGTTCTTACTGGACATCAGCTTCTTGTCATGTTGCCAGCTTGGAAACGATAGAACCCAGAAAGACTACAGCAAGAGATGGAATATGAAAAAGGAAAAGTACCAATAGTAGTAAGTAACCAAGTAGTAAGTAACAATATTCGTTCTTTGTTATGATGTACTGTGGGGATTTCACCTCCGTAATGACCTCATTCTATAATGTATTCATGTCTACGCTATTAAGACCGCAAATAGAGGTCACTAGTGACCACGTGACGTCAACGTGGCTCATCCTTGACCGTCTACACCGGTAACATGAATAACGTCAGACAATGTAAAATAGTGTAATGGAGAGCTGGTGCGTGCTTGTTATTAATCCTCTTTCAAAGTGTCATAAGACGAATTTCAACCAAGAATATGTCATCAGTCAATAAATCTGCAACGTGTGACAAGGCAATAAAACGTTGTAGAATCCGTAACTTGAGTTTGTTTACTTCATGTTCTGACGTCACTGGGAATGTATTCAAAATTAAATAGTATTATTAATGTTAGTTATACTGAGTAGGTCACGTATGGCAGCTTTCGGACTCGCAGGTAAAAGCAACAATCGGCCCTCCAACCTGTCGCACATCGCGGCCTCGTTTTCCAGCCTCGCGTCGGACTCTACATGCACGCGCACTCGCGCTAAAAAGTTTTCAGATGTTTTCAACATCAGCCTTTGGCCCGTGTTGATGAACGAGAGCAATTAGAGGGGAGTTCCACGCGATCCCACTAGAACAATAAACACTTGCTCAATAGTTCCACGGACAGCCCGCCGCGGCTACCGGAGACCGAGAAGCAGCCTCTTCCGCGCGGACCGACTGACTGCTGCCCGCGTGCTTCACGCGCTTCCTCGTGCGCTCGCCTCCCGTGCTCAAGTTGTCAGACGGCAAGCCCGCGTGCCCTTGAACTCCTCAGGCCCGCGGGGGGGTCGATGGTCCCACCATGCCGACCCGGTGCAACATACTCCAGCCCCCCTCCCTGTCTCCAGCGAGAAAGTATGAACACTGTGGAGCCTCTCGGAGCCCCTCTTCACGTCTAACCATTTTTTTCCTTTCATGCAATCCCTCTTACAGGATGCATGGACATGAACTGACGCACACACTCGTACAGTACTGTGCGTGGACACACACGCCCACACACAAAATTTAGTACGAAAAACACTGCAAGAAAAATAAAGTTAAAGGATTGAAAAGTACATGAAACAAAACTGTCTTCCTGGATAATCTGTAGATCAATAGTTTGCAGAGGGACTATTTTCTAGGGGTGGGGTATATTTCCATTCTGCCATCCCCTCCTGTGAATTATGACGTTTTACTTGGATCAAACAATGTTCAAAATCTCCCTTATAAACGTTTAATGTGTCGCCTATAGAGCACAGTTAACATGCGCCCTTAACTTCAGCGCTTCCTGTAACCTTTTGTGATAAATCCACGATTCCCTCAACATCTCCGTTAATCTGACATCTATTGCCATGGAGAATGGGACATTGGCATTAGCATTACAGGTAAACTCTGTATGCTTGGCCTGCCAACGCATGCTACATTTTTGAAACAACATCCATCTCCAACACGCAGGCTCCCATATCCTAAGAAATAAACCTGTGGAAGTGGGAATAGGGGATGAAGTGAAAACAACAAAGACTTATGACATTATGTATCAGTAACATATAACCAAGCCGTATTTAGCTTGATGTTTAGAAGTGATTTATGCTTGCGGGAAATGTAATCGGATTAAGGACCCCCCCCCCCCCAGTAAACACAATGTAGATGATACTATAAACTGTAACAGATGAGCAATTGTATCTTATCCTATATAACTTGAAGGTGTCCAGTCAAAAGACACCGAAGCAAAGGCTCACAAGGAGTCGCCCGCAGGAATGTGCAGACAAGCTCCAAGGTCAGATAGCTCTGTTGTTGTAGCTGGTTTCGGTGCAGATGACGTCAACGTGTCGTGGCGTGGAACATTAAACCAACCCAGAGCCAACTCCATATCTTTTAAACTTAAATAATAAAATAGACACCAGCACGTTACCCAACAAGAGGCGACTATGCCCGAAATGTCCCAATGAATTCAACCCAATGTTCTTTGTGGCTTGCGGACTTTGAATGCTCAGGAAACCTCTGCATCACAACTTCTTTTTTTTTATTAAAACCACTTTATTAGGACTCCAAGAGTCCTGAAGTTCTTTGTCCTAGTCTAAAGGTTTTTGCACACAACATCCTCCAGAGCCATAAAAAGCCCAATCTTTATAGAACTGTTTTCACAGGCTGAGTTGTACTCCTCACGAGGAGTGAATTAAACTAAAATGTTCTTGGACCTTACAGACCAGAGAGCAAAATGATTCTGTTTTGGGCATTTTCCATCACAAACCTGCAATCATGTAAAACAATATAATATGACCTGCCTTACCCAGCATAGACAATGTATTGCACTCTACGAGGTATGAGAATTACTATGAAAATTCAGTAATAATACATTATATATACTGTATAAGCGGGCGTTGTCCGCCGTGAATACTTTTGCGGCGCTTCATTTATAATGTATAGCATGTATTGCAGTGTTGGCCTTTGTAAAGGATCTAAATACTACATCAAAAAGAAATGGCGGTTGGCCGTTAACCTTCATTAGTGTGTGACGGCCCTTCACACCGAGCCAGCAGCGGCGGGGAAAGGTGAAACTCTGTTTGCGATTAATTATTAGATTATGCAAAGGGTAATTAAAATATCAGTCAATATTTACCGGGCCATATGCCACGGGTGCTTTTGCCGCCGCTGCTCGCCTTTTGAATTTTAATATCCCAAACGGGGTGAGAGGCGCCCTTTGGCAGGTATCTCTCTAATGCTCTTAACCATCTGTCAACGCGTAGCCCACTTCCACACCGACATAATGTTTTGTTTATGATAACAGTGTTAATTCAACACAGGCTTAGGTGCAAAGTGGCACAGTTGAGATTTAGCACCATTTATTCCACAATATTTGCATTTGGCGGCGTGCCTGCCCAGCGGCACTCCCCCCCACCCCCCTCCTCTGCTCCATCCACAGGAGATGACGAGCAGTGAACAATGAGAGTCCAAATAAGGCTTAGCACATATTCTTCTGCATGCTGTGTTCCCTTTTTGTTCACAGTTTCTATTTATGTGTGGATTATCAGTTGCTCTCAGCATCACAATGCAGCTGTGGGTTCCTCTCCTCTCCTGATTCCAGCTCTCTCCTCCTTTCCTCTCTCCTCTTCTCCTGATTCCTCTCCTCTCCTCCTCTGATTACACCTCTCCTAGGCTCCCTCCTCTCATTTATTGTCCTTTCATCTTTTATGATTCCTTCTCTCAATTTGTCTCCTCTCATCTCTTTTCCTCTGATCTTCTATGCTGATTCCTTTAATGCCAATAATATTCTCACCTTACCATCCATCTCCTTTCTTCACTTCATCTTGTGCCTTTACCATTCCTCACCTCTCCTCTCCTCTTCCCTTCACTTCAGGTCCTCTCCTTGCCATTCTTCACTTCTCCTAACCCTCTACTTTCCTCATCACCTTGCCCTTCCTCTCCTCTCCCCTCCTACTCTTCATGCCTTTCCTCTCTCCTCTCCCTCTTTGGGTTGGAAAAAACCCTCTAATCCACACACATCCTGTCCAGATCCTAAAAAAGCCACTTCAAAGACTGCAGCCTGAGATGATTTATGGGAAATGAATTTCAGAAAAAGAACTTTTCTTCTCTTTTCTGTTGCCCTGGGCTCTTAGCGGTAAGCTCTGCTTGTTAACCCAGATTTAGATCGCTACCCTGATGGAGCCCATAAAGCGGTGTGGATTTATATAATGTGGAGAGCTGCCACGTGCTTCAGATCCCCTCACTTGCTGCTCCGTCTCTTGTCCAATTTAGAGGTGAACGGTCACTTTGAGAGCTGATGGAGGCGGTGCAGCACCTGGGGCACATCAGCTGCAGCCGACCACACACCACAGTGTGAGCTCTTCAGAAGTCCAGGTTCTATTTCTCAGGTTTATGATGGAATTAACCTACAGATGGAAAAAGAGCTGCAACTAATGATTGTTTTGACAAAATAATCTTGAAACTCAATGTCTGCTTTTCCAGAGCTTTCAAGTGTATCTCTACCAAGGCACATTATGCTAACTATATGTCTTGATTTGACATGATCTTCTAATCTTGCTGTGTCTCTATATAAACACCTTCCAATGGCCTGTCACTAGCTTTAACAGCACACTCAGTCAAAAGTTAATACACTGTTATGTCGACTGGTAGAATGCCTGCAGAAATAGACAAACTGCTTTATTTCATGGGACTGTAATGTCCCAGCAATCTCCTATTTAATTCCCTTCCCTTTTTGGAGATAGAACTTTGTAAACTTGTAATGAAGGGAAGACATCTCTGAATGTGCTGTAAACACTCAATGTTCGTTTATTATTGGAACCTTCATTCCAATAATAACCTCATTGAAGAAATCTTGCTTGTTCAGTTCATGTACACTTTTTAAAATAGTCTGCTATCAATTATAATTAATTTACTAGAGTCTACCATACTGGGTGGTTAGGTCCCTATTTTTACTTATGATGTATACCAAATTCTAAAAAATATATCTTTCCTTCCTGAAGAAGGTTTAACTGCTAGACGTGAAAATTTAGCCAATTAATGAATCAGTCAAAAGGATCTCAGCCCTTTTAGAGGAGCTCGCTTACTACGCACTTACACCATTAGGTGTGACACTGTGTGGATGTGTGAGTGTGTG